ATATTCGCGAAATTCGTAGGTTTGCAAGGTAGAATACAGGCTATTCGAAGATTTATATCTCAATTAGCTGAGAAATATGGGTCATTCAATCATCTATTAAAGAAGGACACCCCGTTTATCTGGGATGAGACATGTCAAAAAGCCTTTGACTGTATCAGGAAGTACATTTCTAACCCACCGATCTTGAGTCCACCTGAACCCAACAAACTTCTATTCCTTACCTTGTTATGACAGGTAAGACAATGGGGGCAATGTTGGGGCAATATAATGACCAAAGAAAAGAGAAGATCATCTACTACATCAGTAAGACAATGGTTGACTATGAAATACAATACTCAGATGTGGAAAAACATTGTCTAACTTTAGTGTGGGCAACTCAAAAGTTGAGGCATTATGTGCTTTCTTATACCATCAAGCAAATGTCCAAGATGGATCCACTCAAGTACCTGTTAGAAAGACATGTTTTAAATGGACGATTAGCAAAATGGAGAATGTTCCTAAGTGAATTTGACATCGAATATGTTACTCAGAAATCAGTCAAGGGGCAAGCGCTTCCCGGTCATTTAGCCGGACATGTCTTACCTGACTGTATCCCCATCAAAACAAATCTCCCTGATGAGGACCTCTTTGTCATTGAGGATCCCATTGGGAGTTATACTTTGACGGGGCTAGGAATGAATACGGCATAGGTGTCGGAGTCATCCTATGCTCTCTAGAGAAAATAATGTTTCCAACCACTATAAGGCTCAATTTTCCTTGCACAAGCAACGTTGTAGAATATAAAGCGTAAAATAGCTGGCCTCGAGAATGCCCGTGAACTCCAAATTGAACAATTACGGGTCATGAATGATTCTTTGCTTGTAATAAATCAAATTAACCAAGAATGGAGACTCCAGCTCTACTAGGACTCAGTTGTAAAGTTGTCAAAATGCTTAAAAAAAGTAACCTTTCAACATGTGACTCGGGAAAACAACCGGTTCACCGATACCTTGGCCACTCTCGCATCAATGGTGGACATTCCTCCCCAAATGAGTGTCCAACCATTCTACATTAGACACAAGAGTGATCATTCTCCTCCCAAGATGGAGTTGAAAGAGCAAGACTAAGAATCAAAGAGGGCAGAAGAAGTGTTCACCCTCGGGGCCAACCAGATAGTCAAAGCTAAACCTTGGTATCATGATGTATCAGTCTTACTCAATGATGGAACGTATCCCGAAGGAACCTCAAAGAGAGATATGGATGCCTTAAGAAGATTCTCAATCAACTTCTTGATCAAAGATGACATCTTCAACAAGAAATCCTTTGAAGGAATCCTCCTAAGGTGTATTGACCAACCAGAAGTCAACACGGTGCTCAAAGAACTGCACAACGAAGGAGGACACACAAGGCAACACTCCTAGCTCAGAAAGTCAGAAGACAAGGATACTACTGGACTACTATGGCTGAAGACTGTTGGAAATATGTGATGAGATGTCCTACGTGTCAAGTTTATGGGGATCTCATACATGCTTCTTCAATGCCACTCAATTCAACACCTCCTGTCTGGCCATTTTCCATGTGGGCTTTGGACATAATCGGAATGATAACACAAAGAGCTTCTAATGGACATAGGTTTATCCTCACTGCTACTGAATATTTCACAAAGTGGGCCGAGGATGCTTCATTCACCAAAATAGAAGGACAACATGTAACTAGATTTATTACAAACAACATCATCCATAGATTTGGAGTCCCTGAAATGATCATCACTGATAATGAGATTAACTTCAAAAATGAAAAGGTAGAAAAGATGTATAAAATATTTGGAATCGAGCATAAGTTCTCTTCGCCCTATTACCCTCAAGGCAATGGTCAAGCACAAGCGACCAACAAAGCCCTCCTGAAGATCATCAATCGAACCATAGAAGGTGTCAATGATTGGCATGAGAAATTACAAGCTACACTGTGGGCTTATAGGACCACTAAGAACACAGCCTCAGGGATGACTTCCTACTAATTTGTCTATGGTGTGGAGGCAGTACTTCTAATCGAAGTGGAAATACCCTCTCTTAGGGTATTTGCTCATAAAGAATCAGACTATAAGCATCAGGCTGAAGCCCGACTAGCCACTCTCGAAACCCTGGATGAGAGACAACTACGAGCGGCTGACAAAATGATATTCTATCATTACAGAATTGAGCGAGCATATCGAAAGAAGGTGATAATCCGAGAATTCAGAGTTGGGGATCTTGTTCTAAAGAAAATTTTCCATTCGATGGTGAATCCTAACCCATTAGGAAAATTCAAGCCTAATTGGGAAGGACCATATGTCATAACCCAAACCCATTCAGGCAATTCCTACAAACTCAGAAACCTTGAAGGACAAGAATTGAATGATCCTATCAATGCTATGTACCTCAAGAAATACTACTCCTGAAAAAAAAAAAAAAAAAATAGGAGAAAATGAGCTTAGCTTACCCAACAAGAGATTGCAGGACTAGGATGCTGAAAGTGACTCCGAGTCTGAAGATCAAAGCTCGAGTGAAGCAATCCAAGGCGGAAAAATTCTATAAGACTTCGACAACCTTTGTCAAGGAAGTATCAGATACCAACTAGGGACAAGGAAAATCTTAAGATAACCAAGACTGGGACCTCCCTGCTACTTGGAAGAAGGAAGGATGATCGAGTTTTCATCTGCTTTTTTTAGAACGAAGTACCACAATAATAAAAAAAAACGCCACCAACTCTCCTCCTCCTCTTCTGTTTCCATCTTCTTCACAAAAAAAGAAAAGAAAAAATCCGCTGAGATGAAATCGAAAAGAATCTCGAGCGTTGGAAAAAAGGCCACTGGGCTGAACACCCATAAGGGACCCCAACAGTAGAGGAAAAAAGAAAAAAAGAAAAAAATAATAATAAAAAAGAATAAAAGAGAAAAAAGGAAAAAAAAAAAATCCGTCAAGCTGAAAATCAGAAAGGAACCCCTAGCGTTAGAAAAAAAGCTACTGGGCTGAACACCGGAAAAGGACCCCGGGGTGATAGAAAAGTAGAACTTCTTTATCTTTTCGTCTCTTCTAAAAAATCTCAAGAAATTATTCTCTTTTCAAGTCTGAATGTTGTCAGAAAGCAAAAGAAGGCATCAATACAAGTAAAACTTGAAGAGGCTCGACTATTTGAACTTCAAAAGAATCGTAGTGGAGGAACAAAATTGGAAGTTCAATGATAATTTGAGCACTCTGAGGCACATCTCTTGTTGGTCATATATGAAACCCCTGGTATCTTGTTTCACGAAATTCGTCTCTCTCTCTCTCTCTCTCTCTCTCTCTCTCTTCTGGAAATTTTTGTTCCTGGTTCTAAACTGATGGTTTGTTTTTATGTGATTAAGCTGATGGTTTGAAAGTCTCTTCTTCCGCTTAAGTCCATTTCCATTTGGTTCAGAGAATTTTCCTCTCGTACTCTGTCCGGGTAATTATTTAGTGTCGCCGTGTATGCACTTCAGAAGACTGCGCACCGAGCAAGACTATAAAAACAAAGGGAGAGGTCTCCATTGCTAGAAATTGGCCGGAATTTTGAATCAAAAGATTTTGGAGCTAGATTCCAATAATAGAGGAGTTGGTCATAGTGGAAACACAATGGATTATAAACCAGAGAAGCCTGAAATTTCCATTAAAATCCAGTTGGGTGGGGGATGAGAGTTCTAGAGAGAGAAAAAGAGCAGTGAGGTGACCCGAAAATAGCAAAAACTGGTGGTTTATAGTGAAATATAAAGAATGGGGCAAGCAGACAAGAGCAACAATTTATGGTTGGAGAGGGAAATATAGAGAACCAAAGAGATAGAGAGAGACTCATATTGCATGGCCGCAAAATAGCAAAAAAAACTGGTTTACGATAGAGAACCAGTGGCCAAAACAAGGTAATTGGACTGATTTCAGGAGTGGGGTGGCTGGAAAATTGAATACAAGTGTGGAGTTTGTTGGTGGTGACAGAGCTTGGAGGTTACTATCAGTCGAGAATACCTTCTTTGATTCATGGCTTATGGTTCAGTTTTTTCGGGCATGGTTGGCCTGGCTGATCTTTCCATTCCTCCTCCAATGCCGCCACTCCTCTCTTCCGGAAACAATGTTGGAAGGAGGGGCTCAAGATTATTGGCCCTACCACGACCTTTCAAAATGGGGGATCCCCATTGGCAACAACCATGGTAGTAGTTGCGAAACTACTGGGCCAGGAGAGGAGAACCAGTTGTTCCTGGTCCTCTGTCTTCGCTTCGGGGACGGAGGTCCTACAGTATGTAACAGCAGGCACAAAGCACTTGACCGAAGGGGACCAGCGCTTCTACTCCTCATTTGGGTAGTGGTTAGTGGTGGTGGAGGTCGAAGCTTATGATCCTAAAGAGAGAGGGGGCTACGATTCTAAAGAGAGAGGGGTTATAGAGAGATTTTAAGATGACAAAAAAAAATGCCATTTTATGATTTGTTTGGGTCACTAATATATGATCAAATGAGTTCCAAAATTAAAGGTACGGTTAAATTTTCCTTATATTTAAACCAAAATTCAATAACATTAACTTCATAAAAAAAATAAAATTATAGGGAAGAATTTTTTTTGAAAAGTTTTAATGAAAAAAGATAAAATACAAATTTATGTCAATTCCATTCAAAACAAGCAATTTTTTAAAGATCTTTTGACTTAACAAATTTAAAAAAACCAAAGATTTTTTGAAAAATCATGTTTTAAACAGAGGCTTGCTAGCTATGGGGTGGACCACTCTGTCGTCCCTCTTCCAATTAAAAATATCTCAAGTAAAGAATTCAAAAAATTAAAAATTAAAATAAAAGGCTTGTGGCTGCCCACATGGAGAGGGGTGAGCCACTCTGCAACCACTCTTCCAAATAAAAAATTTTCATACAGAAATTAAAAACAAATAAAATAATAATAATAATAATAATAAAAGATATGGGAACTGGGGTTGCCAGCTGGACCGACTCGCCTGGACGCAAATCGGGTGATTCCCATCTAAATTGGCATTTTCTAAAACACGCTTTCCACATTCAAACATTAAAGAATGGCAGATGGCATGAGCTCATAATCTCACTAGTAATCCAACCACATCAATATTACAAGTATGCAGCTTGGTGCAAAACGGGAGAGATTGGCAACTGCGAACTCATTCAAAATCCATGTCCTCTTCATTATATGATGCCAACCTCGTCCTAATTTTTGTATTGATTTCATCATCATCAGCATCTAGATATACCCGATCCTTCACCGCTTCAATATGGTAAGGACTCAGACAGTGGAGCTCTCTGCCCTTCTGATTGGACTGCTAAGGCCTCATCTTCTTCACTCACTTTCTTCCACTTCCACTTCCACTCCCTATACTGTATGCTATCGTCGATCGAATCTGCATTGACATAACGATCCGATTCCTTTGGCCTGTTGCATTCACACTTGTGGCAAAACAAGTTTCTTCTGTAATTAATGTAGCCACATCTGCATGTAATAAAATAAGGAAAAAGTTTATATAGAGCCGAGACTCTAAACAATCAAATTAGAACCTACCTCAAAAATTTCACTAGAAGAGATCGTTTTGATGCCTAAATATCCTCAAATTGATCATCTCGACATCAAGATGCATGGACATGAAAAGAAATGGATTTCAAGTTTTGGAAATAGTGTATTTTGTAATGCACTTTTGAACCATCAATTTTCAAGATTTTGAAGTTTTCATAGATATGTCGAACTACACCAAGCTTTAAACTTTATGAATAAATATGAAAATATATTTTACGGCTATCACAAAGATTTCCAGTGCTGAAACCACATTTCTCAACACTGTTTGAGAGTAAGCTCTAATTTGATTGTTTAGAGCCTAGGCTCTATACAAACCGCACCCAATAAATAAACATGGGTTAACTAGGAGACCATTCCACAAGAGCAACGTTTCACCACAGAAATGTACGCTTTGGGTTTCTCAAGCAAATATAGGAAAAGCCGAAAACATTAAAATTCAATACTGAATATTACAAAAAAGTGAGAAACAAAATGAAAAATATTCAAACATTTTCACGATTTTATATCTGTATGATGATTACATGTTTTGTACATGAAAATATTATAAATCTGCGGCTGGACAAATTTCCTTGCAACTTATCGATTTATTAAATATGATTTTTTTGCAAAACATAATACAAAAAATGAAAGAAAGGGGGAAATATTAACAATCTTCAAAAGGAATCTCAGAAAATGGATATAGTTGTCATTACTTCATACCCCACGCACTCCCACTCTCCTGGTTTCAGCTTTCTCTTTGGATGGTGCTCACCACACTGCAAACATTTCTTGTTCTTTGCAAAGTTCATGAACTCACACCTGCAACAACCAATCCATGTCATTGAAAAAAGTTTAAAAAAAAAGCGAAAAACTATGAATATGAGCTGGGCAGCTAACTAACTTCTCACAAAGCCAATCTCCCTTCCTCATTTCAATTTCATCACGGCCAACCTTTCCAGTTGGATGCTGATAACCTTTTTCATCCTTCTCAAGGGGAAGCTTACTCAAATCGACTATTTGATGCAGCAGTTTACGGATAGATTCCTTGATATTCTTCCTCGTTTCAAGACTGCCATTAGTTAATAGACTATGAAGATCAGAACCATACAGAAACAAAAGTCTTAGCACATCGATGGTTCGAGCTGATTCCTTTTGTTTAGGAATAACAAAGGACTTGGTGCACGAGCCCCTTAAATGGCATTTGCAACAAACCTAGCAGCAATGAAGTATAAAGTGTGAAAGAAATACATAGATGAAAAATAATGCATTTTTGTACACGTTAGGAGGATGGTTAAGATGGTCTTACGTCTCCTTCATTAAGATGGACATAAGCCCTCAGACGCTTGCTTGAAGTGATAACCTTAGGATTCAGACTGAGGCAGCCGGGTTCCACCATAATCTGAATATCTCTTTTAGATAAATATCTGAAAATTAAGTGCTACAGAGGTTAACAAATGAAAATACATTTATGAAGTGATAACCGAATGATGAACAGGCTTCCAACAACCTAAAGCAGGTCTGGCACATACAATGTCCAGATACCTAGCATTGCTTATAGTAGTAGGAGAATGTATTTTCATGTTTCTGAATCAATAAGTAGCACTTTTGGATGGGACATAGTGAATTTCGATAAACATACATTTAACCAGTTTGCCAGCAAGGAGGCAAAATTAATTTAGACTAATGCCTTCCCATGGGTGATAAAAAAGTTTTGATATTTAAAGAAGTTTAGGGAGCTGAAGATGTAGCTTTATGAGGAACCCAGGAAGTCTATCCCCACAAGGAGTGCCAACCCATAGGCTAACAATATTCAAGTGAATACCGTACAAGGTACCTTTTGTTTTTCCTTTTAACTGTACTTCTTCAACGGCATCAGACTCAGTTAATTTTTCTCCCAGTGGTTCTCAATGACAGCTGCTGCTTCAATGTTTAACGAATCATGGACAAATAAGATTTGGAAATATAGCCTCTTTAATGGCCATGTCTTCAGTGGTTCAAGATTCATCCCTTCAAAAGTAGCACGGGGAAAATCACAAGTTTTTATTGGGAGCATAATTATGATTTTCAAATGGGCTACTAGCTAATAAGGACTGGCACTTATTTGCAGAAAGAAGGAAATAACATGATCTCCTTTATTTCAAAAGATTTTGTCTGAGATACGAGATTTCTCGTATCTCTCTGGTCCCCACACTATAATTCAAAGATTTATCCCCTTTCAGGGGGTTTTGTACACTGAGAAGCACTGACACTGAAGAAGAACATGTGTATACCAATCTTCCTCCTAATTTTAGTATTGTGGCCTTCACCATCTCTTTAATCTGCCATCTTTTCCATTTATTCATCGCATCACTTTTGCTTGAATGAGACTGAACAACCATCTCATAAGTGGGTTTTATTTGGATAATCTTTTACGTATGTTCTAGCATACTACTTTTGTAGGCATCAATGGTCTTGCATCCCTTGGCCATGAAAATTTTGAGGCAGGACAATCTTGAAAGAGTTATTATTCTTAAGAATAGCTATTGTATGTTGAATCGGCATCAAACTTCGAAAATACAGGAGAGGGTAGACTACAAGAGAAGTGTTTTTTGGAATTTTCTTTAACTGTACACTTTTTTCTTGGGTCAGTGGGATTTAGAGAGAATGGGCGATGTTGAAAATTAAATTACACAGTGGCAGCACTCACTTATTCATTAATATCTTACAAAATACAAATTGTTTTCAGCTGAAATTTTGTGCACATAGACTAGACTCAAAGCACTTTTCAGTGTTCAAAATTTCACCAAATTGAGATGTACTATCGTCAAGAACTAGCTTCCTGGGTTTCCTATTTTCTGCTGCCTGCAAAACAGAAACACCGACAATAGCACAAGTTTAGAGAAACTGGTATTGTGTGACATTGGACAGCTCGGATTCCTTCTGAGGAAGCCCACACAGAGGGAGGTTCAAGGAAGAGTCTATCTGAACTTGAGGTCAATACTCTCTTATCTATCCAGTAGTTAACAGAGCATGGCGAACGAGAGTTCCTAGAGAAGATCCCAAGATACAACCCTCCTTGGCCTGAGTCCTTAGGCTCATAAAGTGGGTTCACCACACCAAACCACAATATTAACTGCCAGGAGGTTCCTTTCCTTCCTTGTTAGTCATGAATGCCACAGACACTTGGTTCTCCTTGCTTCCTCTAAGAGACATGTGGGCCCACCTTGCTTCATACAAGTGACATTGGGCCAAACTTAACCGGTTTTGGACCAGCCACTTTAATAGAGATATTTTCTTCTTTTGAGGACCAAAAGGTTAGCTGACCCATATAGTTGGTAAAAGGCTTTGACGATGATGATGATGATGACCAAAGGGTGAAGGAACTCAAGTACTTGTGTATTGGGTGTCTGAAACTTCCTTTAGGTTTCAAGAATACGATTCTTTAGAGATGGGAGTAAACATATGTGCAAAACTGCACTTATCTGTGCATCAAAAAAGTAAGTTAATAATCTTTCTTAGAAGTAGAAAGTTGGAGCCTCTACAAGACAATGTAGCACTGGTTGGAAGCAGAAATTCCTTTTTAAAAAAAAATGTTATTCTCTCTCACACTTATATTTAGCCCCAAAAAATGGTTGTCTGCCATGTGTCTTTTGAAATTTCAAGAAAAGAACTTTTAGGAGTTGATTTCAGAGTCATCAAAAACAAGTTTGTTGTGCAATGGAGATCTCAAAAGGTTTTAGACTCTGCCTCTTCATCTGCTCTTGCTCCAAATGATGCAAGCATAGATGATGAAAAAGAAGAAATTGTGGGAGAAAGTAAGATGACGACTTGGAAAGATGCAGTCTCAAGAGAAAAGAACAAACAACAGGAAGATTGCTCAAAATCTTGTCCCTACCAAATAATCGAAGAAGACTCTATAAGTTCTCTATCCAGTGATGACGAATCTAATGATTCATTAGTTTTTTTGATGTAGATGCTCATATTCAACAATTGAAACAAAGCTTTCAAAGTGATTATAAGGTGATTACAGGAAACTGTTTGAAAAACCATTTAAAGAGAAAAAAATTTCAAAAGAAAATATGCATCAAATTCGGAAAATGGTGCATTCTCAAAATCTATTACTAGTGCCAGCAAAAATTGCAATAGATGGAGGTGAAAATTGGAAAAAGATAGATTTCTTTCTCGATTTTGGCGCTAATATAAATTTTTGCACCAAAGAATTATGGGAAAATTAGGTGAAATATTCACAAGGGCAAGAAGTTGATACCATGAATGGTAGAAAAAAATTAACATAATTTACCAAATTTTGTTAATATTGATGATGGAGGATATCAAGCAGGAATAGGCATTGTAACTCTAGATGAAATAAGCCCTTACACAGTGTCGAGAGATTTGATAATTTTTACTATGGAAGGAAAAAAAGAAATTGTACCTTGAATTCCTCCAGCTTTCAAAATGAGGACAAACAAATCATTCTATAATAAAAATTATGAAAGATGTTTAAAAGCTAGAAAAGGAACATGAAAAATATGAAATCATCAGACAAATAAAAGGATGAGCCTAGAAAGCCAGTTCAAAATTACTTGATAATAAGAGAAATCATAGAAATCATCTGAAAATGTTGTGTTGACCATCCACTAGAAATTGGGATAAAGATTCACCTAAAGCCCATATACCAACTCTCCATAATATTCAAGTTCAAAGTAAGCCCATAAGATGCAATAAAGACGATGAAGAAGAGCTAAAAACTTAGATAATGGAATTGACAGAGAAAGGGTTAATTAGGCCATCCCAGTCAAATTATTCTTGTGCAGCTTTTATTGTGAGGAATCAATCAAAAGAGGAGGAAAAACCAAAATGATAATTAATTATATTCCTCTAAATCAGGTAACAATAGATCTTAAATGGCCATTACCCAATAAGGAAGATTTGATACAAAGATCTGCAGAGAGAAGGATTTTCTCAAAATTTGATTGCAAGTCAGAGTACCATCGAGTGAAAATCGAAAAAGAATACATTCACAAAGCTGCCTTTTTCACAGCTGAAGGTTTATACGAATGGCTAGTGATGCCCTTCAAACTAAAAAATGATCCATCACAGTTTCAGGGGAGGATGGATTTAATCTTCAAACCATTCTCTGATTTTAATGCTAACTATATAAACGATTTTGTTGTCTTTTCTGACAACATGCAGGAACATCTGGAGCATCTCAAAACATTTGCAGAAATTGTGCAAAAACACGGAATAGGCCCCTCTTCTTCAAAAGACAAATTTCAAATTGCCAAAGAATCAATTGATTTTCTTGGTGTACATATCTCCAAAGACCAAATATAAATACAGCCCCATATTATTCAGAAAATTGAAAAATTTCCAGACAAGCTATAAGATATGTTACAATGCCAAAAATTTCTTGGTTGTCCCAATTTTGTTCAAGACCTTATTCCCAAGCTTTCTGAGAAAACCAAGAAAATTAGAAAAGCTATGAAAGAAGAACCAGTCCGATGGACTGAAGCAGCTGCTCAAAAAGTGAGACAACTCAAAACAAAAGCACAATCTCTGCCTCCTCTTACACCTGTATATGGCGGTCCATTTATTCTCTCTATAGATGCCTCATCTGACACTTGGGCGGCAGTATTGTTAAAAAAGGATAACAAAAAAGAAAAAATATGTGCTTACACTAGCGATCAGTTCAAGACGCATGAACCGAATTATTATCCTGCAGAAAAATAAATATTGGTTGCAGTCAGAGGAGTCGAAAAGTTTCACACCGGTTTAATTGAAAAGACATTTATCCACCGAACAGACTCGTCAAATCTGGCAAGTATAATGAAAAAGAAAATTACCAACAGTCCAAAATTACAGACGTATGCATAGTGGAAGTTCATCCTTTTCCAATCTAAATTTTCAGTTGAAAAATTTCCAGGTACAGAACATCATCGTCTAGATGGCTTCACCAAAGAAATGAAAATGATAAGAACAGTCTAGAAAAATGAGTGGCTAACATGGTCTCTAAAAACCCTAGGAGAAAGACAAATTTTTTGTCAAAAAATGAGGAGTTATTTTTCTCCTGAACCAAAATATACTGATTCGGCTACAGGAAATTACCTTAATATTGATTGTTTTCTCACCTCTGCCAGAAGAATCAGTATAATGATAAATAATTTCAGATGGACACCCTTAGAACCTAAATTAATTGCCTGGATTATAAAAAGGAAGTCTTGAATGATTTGATAATCTTTAGAATACAACTATATTTTAATCATACTATCAAAGATTTTATGAAAAAATTATTAAGATATACAAATTAGGAAAAGGATTTATGCAAATATTTTCAAAGGATCAATTTTACTAAGTAAGGGTTTATCCGGAGATATAAAGATGAAATGTTTTATAACCATGAAGCATCCAGCATAAAGCCACCAACATCAGTGCAGCTATTAGACTG